CCACGACCCATTTTCAATGCTCTGGCTGAAGGAAGAAGGCAGACACCTTTAGAGTACTCACAGACAGACCCATATCCAGCCCTGCCTGGAGGAATTCCAATATGTAGCAGACTCTCTGTGTAGCTGGTGCAAAGACATGCCTGTTTGCAAATTCCACAAACTTGCTCCATATCCTGCTATAGGCTGTGTTGGTGCTGTCCTTTCTGGCTGGCTCTCATCAAGGTATCTGTGACCTTAGTCGAGCATCCTAGATTGATCAGCCTTTGCCTTTCAAGACTCAGGCCATCAGCCTGAGTTACTCTGGAGTGGGGTGCCAAATGGGTCCCTGCATGAGCAGATCTAGTGTCACTGACAGAGGGTATGGTTCTCTGATGTTCAATGAAGGAAGTAGCGGGTACCAGGGTCTCTTTGGCCAATCTGGTATTACTGACACAGCCATCACCCTCTCCTGGTGATTCTTCGCAGCAAGCTGAGAATCACTGGAATTGGAGGGAAGGTGTACGCAGTCTTGAAATTCCATGCCATTGTCTAGACATCCACCCCATAGCTTGTGGGTGACTGATTTTGGAGAAAAAAACAAGGTAGTTTGGTATTCTCCAGGGAGGCAAACAGGTCTATCTCTGGCAGAAAGGCCCATGCCACTAGACTTCGAAAAACTTGAGGTGAAAGGACCCACTAGTTGTTGTCCAAACTCGTTCTGGATAGATAATCCGCCTGGGCACATACATTGCTGTTAGCAGTTGTAAGTTGGCTTGCTCCCATTCCATAATTGGAGTAACCTCCCTCAGGAGGGGTATTCTGCGGGTTCCCCCTGTCTGCATATGTAGGCTACTGCTGTTGTATTGTCCAACTTCATCAGAGTGGTTGCACCCTGAATGAGCCTTTGAAAGCCAGGTGTGCTTGCAATGCTGCTCTCAATTCTAGAATGTTGGAAACTATATTGACAGCCCAGAATGACCACTGGCCCTGGACCCAGTGAACTCCGCACAGGGCTCCCCAGCCTGCTTCACTAACATCCGATTGGACCACCTGCCACTGTATCACAAGCAACAAATGGCATTGTAGGAGATTCTGCCGTCTTGACCATCATTCTAGTCTCATTCTCATCTGGGAAGTGATTTGTATCTTCTGCCCAAGATCCTCCAATCTCCATTGTTCTAAGAGCCCAACCTGAAGGGGATGTGAATTCCATTGCGCCCATTTGACCATCAGAATAGCCGAGGTCATAATTCCTAAGAACCGCATACATTCTATTGCAGGAAGGTAGATCCTCTTCTGGGCTATTGACATCGTGTTCAGGATGCCTGACATATTGGCCTCTGGTAATGCCACTGATGCTACCCGAGTGTTTACTTCTGCGCCTAAGTATACCAGGTTCTGGGTTGGCACAAGATGACTCTTCTCCCGATTGATTAACCATTGGAAGTTCTATAGTGTCTCCATGGTTAACTTCCAGTGTGACAGAAGCGTCTCTCTGTCTTGATTCAGGAGCAGAATGTCATCAAAGTAGTGATATATTTGCAGTCCCTGCGATCTCAGGTATGCCACTAGGGCTGGAAGAGTCTTCGTGAATACTCTGGGTGATGTGATCAGCCCAAAGGGTAGGCATACAAACTGGAATTGGAGCTGCCCTACTGCAAACTGTAGAAATTTCTGGTAGATCGGGGCTACCGGTACATGGAAATACGCATTCTTGAGGTCCACTGATAGAAGCCAATCCCCTGGCTGAATGATTGATTGATTTTCAGAATTGTGTGGAGAGAATCCATTTTGAATCTGTCTTTCTTGATATACATGCTGAGCCTCCTTAGGTCTATCACCAGTCTCCACACTCCCGACTTTTTCTGCACTAGAAATAGAGGTGAGTAGATTTCAGAAAAACATTCTTGCTGGGGTACTGCAACTATCACTTCCTGGTTGAGGAGGGTTTCTATGTATTTCCTAAAACATCCTGCTTTTCTCTTGCCAAAGATAATTTTTTCTGGACAAATTCTGCGGGAATGCCTCAGGAACTTCCAAGCATGGCCAAACCGGATGGTGGAAATTACCCAAGGCTCCTTTACCCCTTGTGCTCACACCTAACGGAACTTGAATGATCTGGCTCCCACGTGAGCCAGCAGATAGTCAAAAAGACTTCTGGGACTCCTGTCCCAGAGACGAAGTTGGTCTCTTTGACTTGCGGTTCACTATTTAGTCTGTTAGACTATTGACAATGAAGTTCTCTCCCTGGCCTGTAACACTTAGCATCGCTACCTCTGGTCCTTGGCGAATTTTTGTATGCTGCACCTCTTCTGAGAAGCAGCCTCTGATCCTGGGGAATAAGCCCCGACTTCCCCCATGTGGCTTTTGCGATGGCAGTGTCTAATTTATTTCCAAACAGGGACTGCCCTTCAAATGGTATCTTACACCATTGTTGTTGGAGGCTAGGTCCACCACTCAGGGCCTCAGCCATAGGGCTCTTCTGGCTATTACTGCATTAAGCATGATCCTGACCAACATCTTAATTAGGTCAATGGTTGCCTCCGCCATAAAAGAAGCCGTTTGCTTCAAATTGGCAAAGGAGGCCAAAACCTCGGCTTTGCTCAGGTCACTTCCCACTGCCACTTCTGACTTCTGAACCCAGGACTCCATGGCCTTCGAAATAGCCGCCAAAGCCATAGAAGGTGTATACGCCCCACCAGCAAGCGTGTAAATCTTTTTAAGATTCACATCCACTCTTCTACCCAACATGTCCCTGAATGTCACTGCACCATATAGTGGAAGAGTTGCGTGTCTAGTGAGCCACATAAGTGCTGTGACCACCACCGAACTCTTAATACTCTCAGACCTGAAGGGGTAAAGCTTTGTGAACCGATTCTTAAAAGTGATTCTCTTATCTGCTTGGTTCCACTCATCAGTAATTATGTCCTCAATCTCTAACATGAATGGGAAATTCACACCCTCCTTTTTCATGTTCATGAAAAATTTCCTCTGCTACTTCTGCGGTTCTCCCCAGTGTCTTCCCATAGCAGAGCCTGCCTAATCTCTCACGAAAGGCTGGACCAAGGCAAAATCAAAACCGTCATAACGATCCTCATTCTGCTCCGAGGAAACCGCATCTGACACCGAAGGTTCCTGGGCCTCTGGAACCACCTAACTAGCTGACGGCATCTGCAGTGACAAGGAGCGCGAGGTGGACGGAACTGATGGCTGAAGGCTGCAACTGCGATGCAGATGCCTTTAACTCAAATGCCTGCTTCATTAGAGATACCACCTCTGGCTTATTGGTGTTTGGTTGCTTCTTTGAAGCAAGTCTCACAAGCTGTCTTGCCCGGCATGGCTCTTCTAGGGCATGCCCAGCATCCTCCTGGTCTGGGTTGGTCATAAGAATTTCTGCTGTATCGTGATGGGGAGCACTGACCTTTAAAGGATGAATGGGAACGCGAGGTCTCTGTCCTTTTCCGGGAATGTTGGTCCTCCCTTGCAGATGACCGTCTCCTACTCCTTTCTGAGCTTCTTCTTTCTGATCTTTGGGAGGGATCATGACCAAGACCCGAGGAGCTGGAGCAGCACAGACAAAAAAAGACAAAATTAGTCATTGACTTGAAAAACAGCAAAAAGAATATGCGCATCTGGCGATATCTCCCCTACCTTCTCTGAGAACGTTGGTCTTTAGACGGGGTAGGCATGATATCACTGCTGTAAAAAGACAAAACCAAGAGCATGAGGCAGAGCAATACAGCAGATAGAACAAAAGGGGCACAGCTTTTAGGTGCAATGCATAACTGGAGAAGAGAGAAGGTAGAGCAGGCACAGGCAGGCTGGAGGAGCACACAGTCACATAGGAGCCAGATGCTTCAACCAGCAGCATCTTTAACTTTTGGCTCCCTTAAGCTTGGCCCCGCCTCCCTTCCCTGATTGGTCGAGCGGTCCTGCACGTGCTCAGAGCAGGACTCATCATGCGCTTAACGCTGGCCTGCACACACTGACCAAGAGGCGCTGGTAAGAAGTGGGAAGACCAGCGCTGCTCCCCTTAGCAGTGTTCACAACTCTATCCACCGCCATCATCCCCAGCAGCCGCCATGGAAGGATTTTATCCCTGCCAGCAGCCGCCAAGGAACCCCCAAAGATGTAACATCCCATAGCCGGCAGTACTTTACCATGGCCTGATGCCGCCCTGAGGGCCAGCAGCGGGGCTCCCTGGTCAAACTGCTGTTCGCAAGGGCTTACAGGGACTGTGTCCAACCATGAGAGCGATTCTGGACAGACAGCCAGCTAGGAGGGGAGACGCCACCTGCCCTGATTGCAGGAGGAAGAAAAAGGAACACGCCTATGCTGAGGTAGGTCAAAAATGTATTATGTCCTGATCAGGCAGGGGGTGGGCGGGACCTCACCCAGCTGTGCTGACATGGAGCTGTCAGGAAAAATAAGAATAAAAGTGAAAAGAAAATAAACAGATGTGTAAATGTGTGTAAAAACGAAAAGAAAAATGAGCAGAAGGGATTGATATATTAGCAAGAGGAAAGAAGAAGAAAAAAAAGGAGAGAAAGAAGGAAAAAAAGGGAAAAAAACACTGAAGAATGAGAGTGTAAAAAATAAGTATGGAAAATGAAAGAAAATTAATGTGTAAAAATGAAAACATTCTTAAAATCCAAAGTTTATTGACCTAATCAGGGACTTCATTTAGGACATAAAACTGCTACATTCAATTTCAATTCACTTCTATAGTTTAATTAACCCCTAGCCTACAGAGCACTTATACCCCCTTCCTGCCCAGGCCAGTTTTCAGCTTTCAGCACTGTCGCACTTTGAATGACAATTGCGCAGTCATGCAATACTGCACTCAAATGAAATTTTTATCATTTTTTTTGAGACACATAGAGCTTTTTTTTGGTGGTATTTAATCACCTCTGGGTTTTTATTGTTTGCTAAACAAACCAAAAACAACTGAAAATTTTGAAAAACAAAGTTTTTTTCTTAGTTTCTGTTATAAAAGTTTGTAAATAAGTGATTTTTCTCCTTCATTGATGTGTGCTAATGAGGCTGCAGTGATGGGCACTGATGGGCTGCACTGATAGGTGGCACTGATGAGGAGGCACTAGTAGATGGCACTGGTGAGCATTGACAGACATCACTGATGGGCACTGAAAGGTGGCACTCATATGGCACTGATAGGCGGCACTGTTAGGTGGCACTGACTGGCACTGTTAGGAGGCGCTGATGGGCAGCACTAACGGGCACTGATAGGCAGCACTGACTGGCACTGATAGGTGGTACTGACTGGCATTGATAGGTGGCACTGAAAGGCAGCTCAGATGGGCACTGATATGTGGCATTGATGAGGCACTGACAGGTGGCATTGATGGGCACTGACAGATGGCACTGCTGGGGCTACACTGATCAATAGGGCACACTGATCATCAGTGCCCTGATGATCAGTGTAGATGTCCCCCCTCCGAGGAATGCCTATTACCGGCTCTCCTCTCCTCTCGAGCTGTTAGCGTGACAGCTCGTGAGGAGAGAAATGCCGATAACCGGCATTTCCCTCTTTACATGTGATCAGTTGTGATTGGACACAGCTGATCACATGACCGAGCCGACATCTTTGGCTCTTTCCGTGGATCAGTGATCGGCTGTGTCTTAGGGACACAGCACACCACCGATCGCCACGCTCCCGGAGCCGCGCACGTGCGGTTAGAGTGGGAGGACGTCATATGATGTCCTCCCAGAACGAGAGAACCGCCGCCTGCCTGTCATTTCCTTATATGGCGGGCGGGAGGCGGTTAAATAAAACTGAAATAAGACACCAGCTGCTTTGATGAAATAAATACACTATATTGCCAAATGTATTGGGACGCCTGCCTTTACACGCAAATGAACCTTAATGGTATCCCAGTCTTAGTCCGTAGGGTTCAATATTGAGTTGGCCCACCCTTTGCAGCTATAACAGCTTCAACTCTTCTGGGCAGGTTGTTCACAAGGTTTAGGAGTGTGTCTATGGGGAAGGTTTGACTATTCTTCCAGAAGCGTATTTGAGAGGTCAGACACTGATGTTGGATGAGAAGGCCTGGCTTGCAGTCTCCGCTCTAATTCACCCCAAAGGTGTTCTATTGGGCTGAGGTCAGGACTCTGTACAGGACAGTCACATTCCTCCACCCCAAACTCACTCATCCATGTCTTTATGTATTTTGCTTCGTGCACTGGTACTCAGTCATGTTGAAACAGGAAGGGGCCATCCCCAAATCGTTCCCACAAAGTTGGGAGCATGAAATTGTCCACAATGTCTTGGTATGCTGACGCCTTAAGAGTTCCCTTCACTGGAACTAAGGGGCCAAGCCCAACCCCTGAAAAACAATCCCACACCATAATCCCCCCTCCACCAAACTTTCCACTTGGCACAATGCAGTCAGGCAAGTACTGTTCTCCTGGCAACCACCAAACCCAGACATCGGATTGCCAGACAGAGAAGCGTGACTGGTCCCTCCAGAGAACACGTCTCCACTGCTCTAGAGTCCAGTGGCGATGCTTTGCATTGCACTTGGTGATGTAAGGCTTGGATGCAGCTGCTCGGCCATGGAAACCCATTCCATGAAGCTCTCTATGCAGTGTCGTGCTAATCTGAAGGTCACATGAAGTTTGGAGGTATTTAGCTAATGACTCTGCAGACAGTGACGTCTGTGCACTGAGCGCTTCAGCATGTGCTGACCCCGCTCTGTCATTTTAAGTGGCCTACCACATCATGGCTGAGTTACTGCTGTTCCCAGTTGCTTCTACTTAGTTATAATACCACTAACAGTTGACGGTGGAATATTTAGTAACAAGGAAATGTCACGGATGGATTATTGCCCAGGTGGCAACCTATCACAGTACCACGCTTGAATTCACTGAGCTCCTGAGAGCGACCCATTCTTTCACAAATGTTTGTACAAGCAGTCTGCATGGCTAGGTGCTTGATTGTATACACCTGTGGCCATGGAGGTGATTGGAACACCTGAATCCAATGATTTGGATAGATGTCACAAACTAGTGTATGAATCTTTTTATTCATTTTTTTTTCAATGTTCATAGTTTCTGGGGTGCAGCATTGGCTATTTGCATCCCCCATGCTGCACAATATAACCAGAAGAAATCTGTAGATGGGCAATAACACTACTTACAACACACACGTGTCAAACACGAGGCCTGCGGGCCAAAATGTGGCCCTCACACCTCTCCTGCAGCTGCTGCACCCCCTTCTTCTCTGCCCCTACCTTGTCTCAGCAGTTGGCAGCAGAGAGAACAGAACTCTTCTGCCAGATCCTGCACTTCTCCATACAGCCACGGAGAGGCTCTTCCCTGTCTCAGCAGTCAGCAGCATCATCCCCTCAGACTCTGGCAGCTGACACCGGCCCTCCTTTGGTCCTCCTCCAAACCCAGCACTTTCTGCTTCCCAGCTCCAGCCCCAGGTTCTTCCCAGCTGTAGCACACTGTAAAAGGGATGCACTGTGATGTAAGTGAGGGTGGGGGACTCAACTTCTGATGGTGTGGGGGGCTCTTGACATCTGATGTAAGGGGGGGAGGGGGTCGGAGGGCTCTGGAAATCTAGTCTTATACATTCAACCAGCTCTTTGAGAGCAACTGTAATGCTAATGTGGTCCACAATGAAATTGAGTTTGACACCCCTGACTTACAACATTGACCTTTTTTCTATAAATTGTTTTGTACTTTTTACGTCACAAGCACCACGGGTTTTTATAGGAATTACATTTGGTGGGGTTCCATTTTGTATCTGTCACAGCTGCTTTTTTCCCCCTAACCCCCCTTCATCTTCAACCTATTCTGCACATGAAAACACACGAAAAAGTATATCAATGCATGTGGTTTTTATGCTGTTTTATGGTGTGAAGTACAGCTGAACTTCAGTTAAGGTTTTTATAGCATAGATATCTTGGACCTGTGTATATATACTGTACATATTCCATACCTGTGATACTGCTGTGAAAGCAAAGAATCATTGAAGCTACTATAGTAATCACCAAGGACTTCCAAGTCTTGTGCCAAGCGGCAAAGCGGTGACGTCCCTGCCCTCCACCTTATCCAATCAGAGAACGTCTTGTATTTATTGTAAAACATACAAGGCATTCTGCGAATGGAAGCTTCACCAAGCGAGTGACTCTCTATGTTCACTATTCAGAAAGGCAGCCGCTCAGACTGGGTATGGCATACAGTGGGTATAGAAAACAATCACCCCCCTATAAATAATCACATTTTGTTTCTTTGCAGCCTGAAATGAAGACAGTCACAGTTTTTGTTTTATCCAGCTGTATTTACTCAGTGCAACTTATAACATCCAAGTGAAAGATATAACATCAAAATGTCAGGAAAAAAAAAAGAAATTCAAAAACAGAATCACTGAGCTGGAAAAAGGAACAACCCCTTGTGTCAGTATTTTGTTAAACCACCTTTTGCTTTAATTCCAGGCTTTAGCCTGCTGGGATATGTCTCAACTAACTTTGCACATCTAGACTTTGCAATGTTTGCCCGCTCTTCTTTGTAGAACACCTCGAGTTCAGTAAATTTGATGGTGACTGTTTGTGGACTGCAGTCTTCAAGTCATTCCACAGATTTTCAATGGAGTTTAAGTCTGGGCTCTGTCAGATTTAAAGGGTAACTCTGCTTTTGTGGGAAAAAATAGCAAATAAAAAAATTAATATAGCATATACAATTGCTACATATGTCATATTGTAACTGAATGTTATTGAAAATGATCTGTCCTTTTCAATCTGCAATGCTGTCATTTTCTGTAAAATGCAATATAGCAACTTGGAGATGTTCTGTACACAGATGGTATACACAACACCCCCCAGACATGTCATTTCCTGTTTGTGTGACTGGCTCACAGATTTTTCTGTCTGCACTAACATACAAATTAGGTATTGAGCACCCCTGAAACAAAATGTATTTTTGGTGAGATACTCCCAAAGGCTTAATCCTGTCTCAAGGGATGCAGACCCTGCCACTTTCCTCACTAGAACCCTGCAGTTGCATCTGCTAATTGATAATTATAAAATCACTCTCATACAGATGCACTCAGCACATGGACACAGACAAAACAAACAAGCAACTGTTGTATTCATCCAGAATAACAAAAGGTAGGAATCTGCAAAAAGGTTTGTTAAAATCCCTGGAATGTACATACTGGTAGATCGGAAGGGTGTGTTTTTTTTCCTCTCAAAAAAAGTGCAATTACCCTTTAACCACTTCAATACCGAGCACTTTTACCACCTCCCTGCCCAGGCCAATTTTTTCAGCGCTGTCGCACTTTGAATGACAATTGTGCGGTCATGCAACCCTGTACCCAAATGACATTTTTAGCTTTTTTTTTTAAACAGAGCTTTTTTTTGGTGCTAATCACCTCTGGGTTTTTACATTTTTTGCTAAACAAACAATAAAAGACTGAAAATTGTGAAAAAAAAAACTTTCTTAGTTTGTTATAAAATTTAGCAAATAAGTAATTTTTCTTCTTTACTGATGAGGTGGCACAGATAAGCTGCACTGATGAAGAGGCACTGATTATTATTATAGAGGATTTATATAACGTCAACAGTTTATGCAGCACTTTACAATATAAGGGGGACAGTACAATTACAATACATTTCAGTACAGAAGGAATAGGAGGGCCTTGCTCATGGAGCTTACAATCTAAAGGGAGGGGAGGAGGTACAAAAGGTGATAGCTACACAGGATGATTGATGAAGGTGGCTCAAGTACAGTTCTTAGGTGGAGGTGGGGTAGGCTTCCCTGAATAAGTGAGTTTTCAAAGATCGCCTAAAGGCAGACAGGGTGGGGGCTGACCGGACATACTGCGGTAGGGAGTTCCAGAGTATGGGAGAGGCTCTGGAGAAGTCATGGAGGCAGCGTGGGAGGAGGTGACGAGGGATGAGGCGGCACTGATATGCTGCGCTGATGTGGCTGCATTGATGGGTACTGATATGCTGCATTGATGGACACTGATATCCTGCACTGATGATCAGGGCACTGTTGATCAGTGTAAATGTCCTCACAGGAAAGCCAGTTATTGGCTTTCCTTTCCTCAGACTGTGACAGCGCTGAGGAAAGGAAATGCTGATAACTGGCATCTGTTTACATGTGATCAGCTGTGATTGGACACAACTGATCACATGGTAAAGAGCCAATAAAATGACCAGCCGGGACCCGGTGACAGCCAGGGCTGCGAATGGCGGCTCGGGTAGGGCGCGTGCTCACCCCCTACCCAGAACTGCAAAATTACGTATATATACACATGATTTTGTGCACCCGTGCTGCCCTGTAGCAGTATTTCTGTCATTGGCTCTTTATCTTAACCGCTTCCCATCAGCCCTATAGCAGAAATACTGCTACAGGGCGGCACGGGTGTGCAAAATCGCGTGTATATATACGCAATTTTGCAGTTCTGGGTAGGGAGTG